CAAATTGTTTTTTTCTTTTTCGCTAAAATTTTCTTAGAAAAATATTTTTTTCGTTTTTCACAATAAAAAGAAGTAATTTTTTCTGGATTTTTTATATCTTGGATTATTTTTAGTTCAAATTTAATTCAATTTTATTATTTAAAATCATAAATAAATAGATATTTCATATTCTCAAAATGCAGTTTTATATCTAACTAATGTAATTTATTTAATGATATTTATTTATTGGGTTGTTTTAATTTTAGCTAGCCACTTGTCACTTCTAAATTAATCTAAAATCATGATGTGTCAAGTTGTGGGAGAGAGCTCACATATATCTATATATACTAGGTATTTTCCCGCGCTATGCTGCAGGATATTTTCTAAAATTTTATATTTATTATTAATATGATAAAAAAAAATTTTTAATGTAAATGAGTATTATAGCTTTTTATCAGCTTATGCATTTATATGTTTTAAATCTAAATAAACATTTTATATCTATTTTTATTTTTCAAAATTATAATTTGCTATCAAATTTGTTTAGCTAACTAACTATAAATATATATGTAAGAATAAAGCAATATATTTTTAAGTACCTTCATACTGATGACAAATGTAATATATTTTCTCCAATAAATTACTACTTGATGCTTCTTTATAATTATATAAAGCAAAATGCCATTTTAAAAAAGTTTTACTAATTAATATGATTATTTTGAATTATAAAATTTATTTATTTATCAAATATTTATTATAAACATATATTTCTAAAATTATCAAACTATGATCAATAACATTCATATCAAAACCATTGCTATTGCCTTAGAAATAAATAGAAAATTTTGTTTGAACAGTTGAAATATCGTTTTAATTGAGGTTAAATAATTAAATTTTGGTTACTGTAAACATACTTTAACTTGGAAATTTAGCATATAGAAAGTTCATCTTCTTACAAAAACTGAGAAATCGCATTTCCCATTAAAACAAAAAAACTTCATTTTTTCATGAAACTGAGAAATCGCCTATTCCAGCCAAAACCAAAAATTCTATTTCTCGCCAAAGAATTTCATTTTTCTACCAAAGCAGAGAAACTGTATTTTTTCGCAAAATCTAAGAAATCACATTTTCGCGCAAGAACCTTCGTTTTCCCGCCAAAGCCGAGAAATTAGGTTTTTTCACCAAAACCAAAAATTTCATCTTCCTGCAAAACTAAAAAGTCGTATTTTTCCGTCAAAACCGAAAATTTATTTTCCCGCAAAAGCCGAGAAAACGCCTATTCCCACCAAAACTAAAAAAAATCATTTTCTCATCAAACCAAGAATCACGCTTTCCTACCAAATACTATAAACTACGATTTCCCGCAAAAACCAAAAATTACATTATCTCCCGAGAAATTGTGTTTTACCGCGGAAACTAAAAAATCGCATTTTCTCGCAAAAACCAAAAAATCACATCGTCAAAAACTGAAAATTTGCATTTCTCATCAAAATCGAGAAATTGCTTACTCCCGCCAAATCTGAAAAAAAAAATCTCATCAAATAGAGAAATTGTATTTTTCTGCTAAAATCATCAAATTGCAATTTCTTGCGAAAACTAAGATATCACATTTTGGTGCGAAAACCAAAAAATCGCATTATCCATCAAAAGCCGAAAATTTGCATTTCTTATCAAAACTAAGAAATCACATTTTTTAGTCAAAATTTGAAAAGTTGTATTTTCCATCAAAACCTGAAAATTGCATTTCTCCGTCAAAACTAAGATATATTTTTTTTCCGTCAAAATCAAATTTTTTTTGTTTTCTCACCAAAATCGAAAATTCACATTTTTCCGCCAAACCCGGGAATTCATTTTTTCCGCCATAACCAATAAATTATGTTTTGCTACCAAAATTGAAAATCACATTTTCCTATCAAAACCAAGACATCCCCTATTCCCGGCAAAACAAAGAAATCCTCTATTCCCGCCAAAGAAAAATATCATTTATTTGCTATTATTTATTATTTGGGCTTGGATTTGGCAAAATGTTGTTGTTTATTATTTGAGCTTGGGTTTGGTAAAAAATAAAACAAAGATTAATAGAAAAAGTATTTGAATCTTTAATGGATTTAAGTTTTTTTTTTGTTCAAAAGATGGATTTAAGATCAAAAGTTAAAAAAAGTAGATGAGTTGTTTTAATAAATGTTTTCGTTGGTGAATTTTTTTGCTGAAGTGTCATCTTCATAAAGCTCCAAAATGTTGAACTGTCATCACCACAAGAAACACTTGTGTTTTTGTTGTATTGATTTATATACATGATTCTCGTTGTTTAATAACATTCATGCTAGTTTTCATATCTGGTTTTTAGATTTAAAAACAGTTTTGGTTAACTTTGATTTTGGAGGGAATATTTAATATTTGGATGTAGTTTATAGGTGAATGAAATCTCCTTTTGATTGTTTCCGCTAATAAACTAACAAACTATTGTGATTGCGCAGGACAAACTGGCTACGCTAGCCCGGTAGTCCCTATGATTACGAGGGGACAAATTGGCTACGCACTTTGCTTGGTGCTGTACAGCCCAAGATCCTCCACATGTTGTATATTCCTCCGGCTGCTGAAGCATTTAACGGTAATTGCATTTGAGTTTTTGTTTTGGACTTCAGATTTTATGTCATGTCATATGATTAAAATCCTAAATTTTTGTGTAATTTTAAAGAGTATGTGTTCCTAAAAAAACTATTTTTAAAATAAAAAATTATTGATGTGGACATTTAGAGAAAATACAAGCTATTTTTTTATTATATAAAGTTAGATGCATCAAAATTAGTGATTTAAATGATCGTGACATGTGTGAAATTTTTTGATTAAGATTTTGACATATATCATGAACAAAATAATAATAAAACATAAATTATGAAATTCTACTATTATTAATATCATTATTATAATATCTAAAAGAAATAATAAAAAAATATTTTTTAATCAAGAATTTTTATTTTTTAAAAAGAAAGTTTCATTAATCCTATGAAAAAAATATTATTCATATATTTATCAATACATAAAATCTCGTATAATTTTATAAAACTAATTTTTCTCTTAAACTTGAATCAAACAGATAAGATGAAAAACTGGTGAATCGATGAAAAATAATAAAAATTACGGAAGCAGAATGAATGAGAAAGCCACTTTTATTTTAAAATATATAGCCAATTTTATATGTTAGTAATTTATAAGATCATGACACATGTCAAGTTTTTTTGTTTAAAATTTTGATATGTGTTGCTAATAAATTAAGAATAAAATTTCAATTAAAAAAATTCCATTATTATTAAAAAAGAAATAAGAAAATATAAATACGTACTACAATATCTAAAAATAAAAAGTTTTTTATATATATTTAAGTTAAGAAAATAGTTTTTAAAAATCAAAAAATAAAGACTAATCGTAAAAGAAAAATAAAAATATTACTTATATCTTTATAAACACATAACTCTTTATATTGTTTTTTCGATAGATTTTTCTTTTAAATTCGAATCAAACGGATAAGATGAAAAATTAATGAATTGATGAAAAATAATCAGAATTGAAGAAGCAGAATGGAGAAGAAAGCTACTTTCACTTTGAAATATGTAGTAAATTTTAAATTGATAAAAAATATTACTTTTATAAGTAATTCAATTTTTTTTTAATTTTTTGTAAGTTTTAAATAATTATATATATATATATATATAATTAAGGAAAACTCTTTCCAATGGAGCTATCCACATCGTCAATTTATTTTGTGTTTTATAGGCTTTTAATTTTCTAAATTTTATGAGCTTTTATTTTGTATATACATACTTTACAAACTACAAAATATAAATTATCTAATTTTATATTTAAATAGGCTTTTACATACATATTCTTGAATATTCATATGACATAATTTAAAAATTAAAAAACAAACACTTATATTACAAGCCACAAAAATGTAAAGTATCTATAAAGAAAAAATTTATAATGTTATTTCGAATAAGAAATAAAGAAAATGTGTGAGATTGATAGTTAATTTATTTTGTTAATCTCTTCAAAAATAAGCGGCATATAAAAAATGAATAAAGTTATGGAAAAAAAAAGATATAGATACATACGACAATGTATAAGTATAAGATTGAGTTTTTAAAACAATTAACACATCACAATTTATATTTAAAAAATAAATTAACAATAGTACTTAAAGATTTGGTGGGATTGATAGTGAATTTTTTTTGTTGATCTTGTTCAAAATAAGTGATATAAAAGAAAAAAAACCAGTTGAATAAAAATATTCAGTAAGTAAATATAGATATATTCGATAACGTATAAGTATCAAAGTGAGTTTTTAACAATTAACTTATTAAAATTTCTATGTAAAAAACACTTCATAATATATCTACATATTTTAGGATAATAAAAAACTAAAAAAATATTTAAAATTAAAAAATAGAACAAAAAATTATTAAAAAGGTAAACATAATAGTAATATAAATATATAAAATATAATTTTAAAAAATTAGATAAACAAAATAGCTTCACTAATTTCTGTCGAAATATAAATTCAGAGTACTATTTCAAATAAAAAGAAAAAGAGTGAGTGAGACTAGTGGTGAATTAACTTTGTAGATCTTACTAAAAATAATTTAAAAAATAAAAGAAAAGCCAACTAAATAGAAATATTCAACGAAAAAATATAAATATTTATAATATCTTATAAGTATAAGAAAATATTTCTTATTATTTAACACATCACAATTTTATTAGCGAAAAAATCTTACAATAATTTCATATATTTAAAATAATGAAAAAAAAAAAAATTTAGTTTCAAAAATAAAAAACAAAAGCAAACATAAAATTATACAAAATAAAAAAATAAATAAACATAATAATAATATAAATATATAAAATTAAAAATTTGATTTACAAATAACTGACGTGCGCGCATTTATTTCTAGTTTATTATAAATTCGCGTATATATCATATATAATTGGCCTAACCCATTCTAACAAATTAAATGGGCTTGGCCCAACTCATTTTGACTTGTTTGTTTGACTTTTCTATTCCGCTGTTTGACTTCTCTCTCTCAAAGTCACTCATCATTCCGACCTAACCTTCTCCGATCTTCCTCGCCTAAATTCATCTCAAAACCAAAAAATTTCTCTGTAAAATCGCAAAAGGACTTTGATTTGGAATATCGAAATCTATTATGGTGTTCATTTAGGTAGCGAAACTTTAGTGATAAAAGAAAATGAAACCGTCTCTTCGATTCGAGCGCGGCGATGCAAAAACCCTAATTTCGGGGTTTTAGGGTTATCAGAGAAAGAGGGCAGCGTTTCAAAGAGAGCTTAATGAAGAAGAAACAAGAGGAGAGTTCGTTGGAGAAGCTGAGCACTTGGTATGAAGATGGAGGAGAGCAAGACGGTGGTGGGGAGAGAAGTGAGAAGAGAAGATTGAGCGTAAAAGCATCGGAGTTCGAGAGTTCTCGAATCGGGAGTAAAAGCAAAGAAGAGAAATCTCTTGATGAGTACCACGATCGAGATTCCAAGAGTTCTGATAAGAGGGAAAGTGGTGGTAGAGATCGAACTCATGGGTCTTCTTCTGATTCAAGTAAGAGGAGAAAATGGGATGAAGCTTCTGCTGGTACTGATGGTGAAAGAGGAGATCACAACAAAAGCAGTAAGCTTTCTGACTCTAGACATGATAGTAGTACCGTTTTAGAGAAAACTTCTGTTAGTAATGAATGTGGTGATGGTAGAAAGTCTGATAGAAGTTTGAAGTCAAGTAGTAGAGAGGAGAAGAGTAAGACTAGAATAAGGTCAGAATCTGCTATTAAAGAAGATGATAGAGGTAGTCCTCTTAAGAAAACCAGTGGAGGAAAGGATGGTTCTGAGACAGTGAGTCGATCTAACAGGTCTAAGACACCAGACAGAAGTGGGAGGCGACATCAAGAATCAGAACAGTCAGAGGCAGAGTATGAGAAGGAGAAGTATAGCCGGAAAGACGAAAGATCTAAAGGAAGAGATGATGGCTGGTCTGATAGGGACAGGGATCAAGATTGGAAGAGAAGACATTCTGGTAGTAATGAGAAAGATCAGAAAGATGGGGATTTGCTTTATGATCGTGGCAGGGAACGCGATTTCCAAAGGCAAGGACGTGAAAGGAGTGAAGGAGAGAGGTCACATGGTCGTTTAGGTGGTAGGAAAGATGGAAACAGAGGTGAGGCGGTTAAAGCTTTGTCAAGTGGAGGTGTTTCGAATGAGAATTATGATGTGATTGAGATACAAACCAAACCACTTGATTCAGGGATGAACCTTGCTCGTACGACTGAATCGGATCAGCAACCTCCCAAGAAGCCTAGTAATAACGACGAAGATTGGGTTTACAACAGCCAGGAAAGTAGACAGAGAAGTGATACTTTTGGTTTTGGGTCTTATGGTGAGGCTTCAAGAGATGAAGCTGGTGAAGCAAGCTCTGATTACTCAGGAGCTAGATCAAGAAACCAGAGAGGTGCAACACCTGGTCGAAATAATCATCTGCAAACACCTAATCGAGGTATGCACAATCCGCAAGGCATGAAAGGGAACAGACCTACAAGGGGTGGAAAAGGAAGACCTCCTGGTGGAGGCAGAGAGAACCAACAAGGTCCCATTCAATTGCCTATCATGGGTTCACCATTTGCAAACCTTGGAATGCCACCGCCTAGTCCCATTCAGTCTCTACCTCCTGGCATGTCGCCGATCCCGGGCCCTCCCGTTGCTCCTGTCTTCATGCCTTCGTTTCCTCAAACTCTTGTCTGGCCTGGGGCACGAGGAGTCGATGGTAACATGTTACCTATTCCTCCTGTTCTCTCGCCGCTTCCTCCTGGACCATCAGGCCCGAGATTTCCTTCGCTTAGCGCTCCTCCAAACCCGAATATGTTCTTTAATCCACCAGGTTCTGAAAGAGTAGGTCCTCCTAACTTCTCCAATTCTACATTCAATGTTTCCGGACAAATGGGACGGGGAATGCCGTCTGAGAAAAACTCAGGGGGATGGGTTCCTCCTCCTCGAGGCGGTGGACCTCCGGGGAAAGCTCCTTCTAGGGGAGAGCAAAATGACTATTCACAGAACTTTGTGGATACTGGAATGAGGCCACAGAACTTCATCCGAGAGCTTGAGCTTACTAATGTAGAGGACTACCCTAAGCTTAGGGAGCTCATACAGAAGAAAGATGAGATTGTATCTAACGCTGCTTCTGCGCCAATGTATTTAAAAGGCGACTTGCATGAAGTTGAGTTATCTCCCGAGCTGTTTGGAACAAAGTTTGATGTAATTCTTGTTGACCCACCGTGGGAGGAATATGTCCATAGAGCTCCTGGTGTTTCTGATAGTATGGAGTATTGGTCATTTGAGGACATCATCAATCTCAAGATTGAGGTAACTATTCTCTACGCTCTCTAACTGTTCATAGGAGTTTAGGCCACACATTCTCTCTTGGGTTATGATTGGTTGGTTTGTGAGTAGATCTTGTGGGTTAGGTTGAATCCCATCTTTGTTACTGTCATTTATAACAAGAGCATAAACCTTCCATATATCTGTAGGCAATAGCTGATACTCCCTCCTTTATCTTCCTCTGGGTTGGTGATGGTGTTGGGCTAGAGCAAGGTCGCCAATGCCTGAAAAAGGTACAAAATTCCGCAAATACTCATCTCCTTTGTCATTCTTAATTTGTTTTGTCTTGACAGTATTCACTTCATCTAATATTTTCTGTTTGTTTGGGTGTGTCACAGTGGGGTTTCAGAAGGTGCGAGGACATTTGCTGGGTGAAGACCAACAAAAGTAATGCAGCACCAACATTACGACATGATTCTCGTACTGTGTTTCAGCGCTCAAAGGTCTAATATGGTCTACCATTTCCTCTTTGTTCGATTCTTGTGTTGAATATCTTTTTGCTTATTGTTTTTTCTCGTTGTAAAGGAGCACTGCTTGATGGGGATAAAGGGTACTGTTAGACGTAGCACTGATGGACATATAATCCATGCTAACATCGATACTGACGTTATTATTGCTGAAGAACCTCCCTACGGTAAGTAAAATGTTGTGTCCTGATAAAGCGATAAAATTGTGAGGATGTTGCTTGTCGTCTTTTTCATTCTCTCTGTTATCTTTCCTTCTTCCTGTTTCTTATTAAGTGTGCCTGTTAAGCTCATCAACTTCAGTTATATTAGTATAAATATGATTGTTGGTTAATGTGTTTAGGGTGACTGTTTGATATGGTTTTTCGGTTCTCTAGAACAAAGGCCTAAGTTTCTTTTGGTTCTCGGTTACAGTTGATATGATCTTCTTGCTCTACTGTGTAAGCCGGTTCATAGAGAAAATAGCTAAGAATTTGTATCTGTGTTATTTATTGCAAAGCCGGTTTCTTAATTGCATCTCTTTACGCTGCAAATCTGCAGGTTCGACTCAGAAGCCTGAAGATATGTACAGGATAATAGAGCATTTTGCACTTGGTCGCCGGAGGCTTGAGCTTTTCGGTGAAGATCACAACATTCGAGCTGGCTGGCTTACCGTTGGAAAAGGCCTTTCTTCCTCAAACTTCGAATCACAGGTAAGCTCATATACACTCTGCAGTTTTTACATGAGATTTGAGACCTGTGGAAGAAACTTATTTTACAGGAAGTGTAAAGATATGTTTGTCCTGTTTTTGGATATTGTGTGTGTTTTCAGGCTTATGTGAGGAACTTTGCGGACAAGGAAGGTAAAGTGTGGCAAGGAGGAGGAGGAAGGAATCCGCCACCAGACGCACCGCATCTCGTTGTGACTACTCCTGATATCGAATCTCTCCGGCCCAAATCACCGATGAAGAACCAGCAACAATCATCATATCAACCGTCTCTGGCCTCCTCTGCCAATTCCTCAAACCGAAGAACCACAGGGAACTCACCACAACAGGCAAATCCTAATGTTGTTGTCTTGCATCAAGAAGCTTCTGGATCTAACTTCTCTGTTCCGCCTCCACACTGGGTAGCAGCAGCAGCTCCTCCCGCGGCTGCGGTTGCTCCTGCTCCGACGATGGAGAGCTTTCGAGTGCCTGAAGGTGGCAACAACAACCAGAGACCACCAGACGACAAGATTTTTGACATGTACGGCTTTAACTGAGAGCCTCTTCTTGTTTCTATTGGATGGACATGAGAAAACTCTGTTGCTTATGGTTTGGTCCTCTGCCTCTGTAATTCTTTTCATTTTTTTACATTTCGTTGAGCCAATACTTTATATTCATTTCATTATCAATCAAGCTTTATCTAATAATCCCATTTTTCTCCAAATTGAATTGCATTAAACCCTTTAAATTCACAATTATAAACAAAGAGCAAAGTCATCATCTCCTTTAATCAAACAATTCGGTGTCATTCACAGTCACTGATGAGTGATGAAGTTTTAAGAACTTTTTACTTTAAACACATTTCACACACAGAGAACAAAGTCACCACTTTTCAGCAGGACGAGCTTGGTCCTCTGTTCCTTCACTGATATCTGTTAAACATGAATTGACCTGTGCAACTAAACAGTCAACAAAAAGTCAGAGACAAGTCCCTGCAAATCGTCTAAAAACGTTTATTTGTGAAATCAGATGAATTTAATCAATGCAGTAACGAAAGTAGACCAAACAAGAAATGAAGTTCATACGATATAGTAAAGATCAGAGAGACAACAGAAAGGAAAAAGTTACTATTAATAGAGGAGAAAACCCTTTGTACAATCACAATCGTCTGTTAATTACAATTCCAACATGTCACTAAACCGAAACACCTCCAAGAATCAATCAAGTTAGTCTCAATAGACTTCATACAATTAAAGAGACAAGCTACTAAGACTAGAGGAGAAATCACAATCCTAGTTACGAAAAACCTTCAGAAACGCCTGAAATTAGACCACTGTGCATCAATAGATCACTCATCAAACCAATCAGCTTGTCAGAGAGATGGAGTTACTCTGTGCCGTAGAAGAAGAAGGAGGAGTAACAAGAGCAAAGCAAAGGAGTCCTCCCCACCTGAAAGACCAGATACTTATGCTGTCTCCTTCTTTCAATCTGTTACCCTCTACGATGTCATTCCAACCACAAGTCAAATTGTAATTCCAGCTTCCTTTGCCTGATTCCTTCTTCATCTCCCATCGTTTCAACATCATACCCCACTTTACATTCATTGGATCAATCAGAATCGCTCCAATTCCCATCTTCTTAACATTGTTGATGTCTTCTTCCATGACTCTGGACTCGACAGGGGTCAAAAAATCTTTGTGGATGAGCTCGTTGGAAGGCATTGAGAGACGACTCTCTCCTGGATTGACATCTGTCATGTACAGAGTTCTCTGAAAGATTAAGTCGCTTCTCTTCCCCCATTTAGCTACAGATTCTCTCGTGTCTTGCATCATCTGCTTTAGCGACTCGGGAATCTCTCTTCCTATCCACGAGAAAGCTTCAATATTTGGTTTCTTGCATTTACCATTACGCTTTGGCTCTTGAACAGCACGTCTCTTTCGGCTTGTCTTCTCTGTTCGGCACGAAGACGGAGACGATCTCGAATTAGGGTTTCGTGGGTTTCTCATCTCGGACTCAGCCGAGATCTTGTAATGAAACGATGAAGAAGAGGAAGCCACATTAGGGTTTCGTGGGTACTTCGTTTTGGAATCAGCCGCGATCGTGGTAGGGTCGAGAAGAAACGATGAAGAGGAACAAGGGTTTTTTGGGTTATTCATCTCGGAATCATCGGCAGGGATCGGGTTAAGATCGAAAAGAAGCGACGAAGACGACGAAGGAAATTGAAGAGGGTTTCGTGATGAAAAAGGCATTTGAGGAGCGTTTTGTTGTGAGTTTCTTCTGGAAACGAGTTTCTTCACCAAAGTTCTTGTTTTTCTCGGGAATTGCTGGAAGATTCGCTTGTCCCTTTCTTCTTCTTTTGCACAGAGACTCGTCGCCTTCGTCTTCGTGTAGGATTTGAGTTTTCCTTTACGGCAGAGTTCTTCTTCGTACAGCATGACGGCAGTATCTGTAGCCGATACGATCTACGATCTCTCTCTCCGATTCAGGTCTGAATCTCAACTCTTTCTCTTGCTCTCTAATCGATTCGCTAGTGTGATTGAACAACTAGTAAAAGACATGCACGATTATAGAGTTCCCCAATAACTTGTATACATTTCTCTTCAGGATTGATCCTGAAATTTACTAACTTAGTGTTTTTGGATTACAGAGCTCGAGCTACAAGAATGGAGGAAGAAGAAAATCTAAAAACCAAGAAGGAAGGAAGAGGACTCTACAACAACTAGTATCAGACTTTTCTCTCTTATCAGTTATAACAACCAGCTTCTTCGGTTGTGGGCCTTTCACCAAAGCACGGCCCAAAAGAATACTCTTTCGCGAGATGGGCCTCAAGCACCAAAGCCCAAACGCCAGTTCCTTTAGAGTTTGGACTAACACTTCACAAAACTCCACCTTGGTCCGAACTCCTCTGTAACCCTATTGCATATCGACTCCCAACAGCAACCTCTGTGAATTCCGCTCCTGGAATCCGACGATCCTCGCTGAGATCGACCTTTCTCACTATCGGAGAAGCAGCTGCTCCATTTTGTTTGTCCTCACTCCGAAGCTTTTCTGCTGATCCGCACCAGAACAACAGAAACCGAAACGTCACCTCTGCAGCTACCTGAGATGATGCCGCTGATGAAGTCTCAAGCTTCAATCACGTTCAGCGACTACAAGCAACCACCAAACTTCTGACCAGGTAACATCTTCGTCAACATATCCGATGGGTTTACCGATGTGTGGATCTTTAGAACTTTTACTTCGCCTGGATCCACCACTTCCCTGATGTAGTTATACTTAACCTGTATATGTTTCGTTCTCTCGTGAAACATATGGTTCTTTGCTAGATAGATCGCACTCTGCGAATCACAGTGTAGCTCCACCGCGTCTTGCTTGAAACCCATTTCTTCACATATTCCTCTTAACCATATTGCTTCTCTGCTTGCTTCTGACAAAGCGATATACTCTTCTTCTGTTGTTGACAGGGCCACTACCTTCTGGAGTTGGGATCTCCAGCTTACCGTGTTGCCTCCAACCGTGAAGACGTAGCCGAGAATCGACCTTCTTCTGTCCAGATCAGCTGCGAAGTCTGAATCACAATATCCCCGGACCTTGAAGTCATTCTGCTTCGTGAAAGTTAAGCACACTCCCGATGCTCCCTTCACGTATTTCATTATCCACTACACAGCTAACCAGTGTTCTCGTGTAGGTTTGCTCATGTACCGGCTTACCAGTCCCATGGCATATGCGAGATCAGACCTAGAACCAACCATTGCGTACATCAAACTTCCCACTGCACTCGCATATGGTATGTTCTCCATATCATTTTCTTCTACTAGCAGTTGTTCTGTAATTGCTGCTTGAAGTTTGAAATGAGAACCCATAGGTGTAGCAACTTCTTTGCAATCCTCCATATCAAACGTCTGTAGAAGTTTCCTTAGGTACTCTTCTTGAGATAGGATTAGGATTCCTTTCTTGCGATCCCTGAAAATGTCCATTCCTAAAATCCTTCTCGCTGCACCCAGATCTTTCATCTCGAACTCAGTGCTTAGAAGTTTCTTCAACTTATCAACTGATTTCTTGCACTTTGAAGCCACTAACATGTCGTCAACATATAGCAGTAGATAAACCATGTCCTCAACATTTGTACCTTTCTGATATACACACGGATCAAACTTGCTCCTTCTGTACTTCTGTTGTAGCATGAATTCATCGAACCTGTGATTCCATTCTCTCGGAGACTGTTTTAGACCGTATAGGGATTTCTTTAGCAGACACACTTTGTCTTTCTGACCCTTCTCTGCGAACCCTTCTGGTTGACTCATGTAGATAGTCTCATGTAGCACACCATGTAGGAATGCCGTCTTGACATCTAGTTTCTCTAGCTCCATGTCGTGATTTACCACCATTGATAGAAGTAATCGAATTGACGCATGTTTCACCACTGGCACAAACACTTCATTGTAGTCAATTCCTTCGATTTGAGCAAAACCTTTAGCTACTAGCCTTGCCTTGTACCTAGGTTTTTCAACTCCTGGAATCCCTGGTTTTAACTTGAAAATCCACTTGCTGTCAATGACCTTTTGCTTCGTTGGTTTGTCTGCCAAGACCCATGTAAAGTTCTTTTTAACGAATCCATCTCTTCCTTTGCAGCATGGTTCCACTTGTCTCTGTCTTTACTCCTTTGAGCTTCACTGTATGACTTCGGTTCATCCAGTTCAATAGCCTCAGCACATGTGAGAGCGTAGGCAATGAAGTTTCCCTCTCTGAACCTCGCGGGCTTCTTCAGTTTCCTCCCATAACGGTTTAGAACAACAGGTGAGCCTTCTTCTTCATCTTCTTGATCGTCTGGATCACTCTGTTCCTCATAAACTGTGTAATCTCCTTGCTCGTCATCTGAGAGACTAACTGTATCATCTTGTGATGTTGCAGGTTCTGACGTAGCTCCACCACGACTCGAAGATTCTTCTAGAGTACTCGAAGTAGGCTCCACCTCAACCAAGTCATCTTTGAAGGTAACTTTCTTCTTAACCCTGCTTACTCCAGTACTTTCTGTCTCTGAGATTTCTGTATTTCTGTCCTTGAATAGAAGGTCCTCGTTAAACACAACGTGCTTGCTGATAGTAACTTTCTGTTCTTCTATTAGCTAGACTCTGAAACCTTTAGTCCCTAGGACATATCCAACGAACACACCTTTCGTAGCTCTAGGACTTATCTTGTCAGCCACTGTATGAACATATGCTATACAACCAAACCTCCTTAGGTGTTGATACTTGGGTTTATTTCCTGTCCATAGAGCTTCAGAAACTTCAAAGTTGATAGACGATGATGGGGACTTGTTTATTATATAAACAGCTGTAGATGCTGCTTCAGCCCAGAACTCTTCTCCTAGACCCGTTTCATATAGCATACTACGAACCTTATCCATAATCGTTCTGTTCATTTTTTGTGAAACACCATTCTGCTGTGGTGTATAGGGACACGTTTTGTGCCTTTTAACCCCTGATTCTCTGCAAACTTTATCAAACTGAGTGTTGCAAAACTCTAACCCATTGTCTGTTCTCAAACACTTCAGGTTCTTCCCGGTTTGGTTCTCCGTAAGGACTTTCCAGTCCACAAATTTCTGAAACGCCTCGTCCTTAGTTCTCAGGAAGTAGATCCAAACCCGCTTGGAGTAATCGTCAATGGGAGGTGAGAAAGTACTTGTTCCCTGATAGGCTTGGCGTTACATTTGGTGAATCCCATAAGTCAGAGTGCACATACTCTAAAATGCCCTTAGACGTATGCTTAGCTTTCTGGAAACTCTGCTTATGTGATTTTCCCATGGTGCAGGATTCGCAGAACCCCAACTGCTTCACATCATCACCCTTGAGATATCCTTTCCTCACCAACACATCCATTGAAGACTGGCTCATGTGAGCTAACCTTGAGTGCCAACGCTTTGTCATGTCCACCTGAGCTCTCGCAACATTCACCTAAGGTACACGCACTGACCCCTGTAGATAGTATAAGCCATGATCGTACTTCCCTACCAAAACCTTTCTGTCTCCCTTGTATAACTAAACCGTGAAGCCACTGCCACTGTACTTGCATCCTGACTGCTCAAGCTGCCCATACGAGATAAGATTTCTTTCCATATCTGGCATATACCTCACATTAGTTAGCGTTACCACAGTTCCATCCGGATTGTCTATAGTGATACTCCCTTTTCCTTTCACCATACAGTATGTGTTATTCCCCATGAGCACCTTAGTCTCTTCTGATTCAACAAAATCTGACAGCAACTCCTTTCTCGGTGTTATGTGGAATGTACACCCCGAGTCTAGAACCCATTCATCCTCCGTAGTATGAACACTAGCCGTTAGAGCAATGGCTTCTGGTAGGGTCACCACGTTTGCTGAACTAGACGACTTGTTTTCATTTCTCTTCCTCTGCGGACAATCTTTCTTCCAGTGATTCTCATCACCACATGTCCAACAAGCTTTAGGACCGAATTTGTTCTTAGACTTGGACCTCCCTCTGTTATTATTGTTTCCTTTGCTTTTTCATCTACCGTTGTTTGACTTATTGTTGTTTCTCTTTTCAGATCTGCCTCTCTCTTCAACGTAGAGCCCTTCTGACGACTGCTTCCCTTTGCTCAGTAAGCCTTTCTGTCTCAGTTCTGCTTCTTTCGCATAGGCTGATGCAGTGACCTCACTTACAGTCAGCGTTTCTTTACCCGTGCCATACTTCAGAGTGTGAACCAGGGGTTCGTATGGCGGTGGAAGGCTGGTCAGAAGCTGTATAGCTTGGTCTTCTTCGCTTATAGTGATCTTCAAGCTAGCAGGATCAGCTATTAGCCTCAGAAACGTATCATAGTTCTCCTCCATGGTACGGTTCTCATCCATCTTGAAACCAGCAAAGCTCTGCTTCAGGTATATAATGACTTAGTTTGATAGTCACTCTCTAACGCTTTCCACATTTCCATTGCAGTAGGCTCATGCATTATCTTTCGCAGGATAGAGTCGGTGAGACATGTTCCCAACAAGTTCCTTACTCTGAGATCCATAGCTTCCTCCTTCGTATCCATACCCATCTCTCTCACAACTGATGCAAGGCCACTGGATCTTACTTCTCCCAGTGTAACAACGCCTGAAACCCTTGTCCCTGGTGTAGTTGCACCCAACTGCGTAACTGTCTCTGAGGAAGATGACAATGACGTTGTGGCTTTCTCCTTCAAGACTGATCTCAAACCCTGTATCTCCAGCTGACCGAGAAAGCGGTACTTCCACATCCCGAAGTCTCCTTTTCTGTCAAATTTCTCCATCTCGAACTTTCCTTGAGTAGGTTCCACCATTGTCGACTGATCTCCAAGTTGTTTGTCTCCTGCAGGTAAACAGAACAACGAGTGAGTAGCAACCAACAATCCAAGATCCTACAACTACTCGAGAATGATTGACTCAAAGATTTCAGGTAACTGATTTAAGAGATTTAGAACTGATAAACCTCCCTTCGTTCTTAGATGGAGCTCAATTGATCGTTGTTGATGGTGACTCCTGTTGACTTCACAGATGCCTCGTTAAGATCTCGATCTTCATCACCTCCGATGCGTCTTGTCCCGTTCTTCCCTGATCGATCTGTGGATCGTCCGTCGTATCACCTCCGCATCGAACCTGACGCTCTGATACCACTTGTAGACGATACGATCTACGATCTCTCTCTCCGATTCAGGTGTGAATCTCAACTCTCTCTCTTGCTCTCTAATCGATTCGCTCGTGTGATTGAACAACTAGTAAAAGACACGCACGATTATAGAGTTCTCCAATAACCTAAGTACATCTCTCTTCAGGATTGATCCTGGAATTCACTAACTCAGTGTTTCTGGATTACAAAGATCGAGCTACAAAAACGGAAGAAAAAGAGAATAAAAAAACCAAGAAGGAAGGAAGATGACTCTACAACAACTCGTAACAGACTGCTCTCTCTTATCTGTTATAACAACCAGCTTCTTCGGTTGTGGGTCTTTCACCAAAGCACGGTCCAAAAGAATACTCTTCCGCGAGATGGGCCTTAAGCACCAAAGCCCAAACGCCAGCTCCTTTAGAGTTTGGACCAACACTTCACAGTATCAACCAAGCAACGGAAATTACGCGAAGTAATATCCTCCGCCGCAACGGCTACAAGATCGCTGTAATTCATTGTCGGACCAAAAATCTCAGCAAGAACTTAGAGAGGCAGAGAGAAAGAAGAAAATTAGAGAGGCAGAGAGAAAAATAGAATGAGCGAAAGTGTGAGAAAGAAAGAAAAATGCCTTGTGACGGTAATATTTATAATGCCTAGGGTTGAATCAATGTGATTAGTATAAGTGTATAACTACGAGTCTACGACTTAGTCTCTATATTTCGTTATTTCCTTTTTTCTTTTGTTTTTTTCAGGTTTGTTTCGTTAATTATAGTTTTTATTAGTCAGCATTTTTCCCCTTTTTGCATTCAGAAACTCTGGCTCTGTTTGTACTTTATATCCCTAATCCATTCCATTTCATAAATAATCAAGCAGTTGCCTAATAATCCCAACTTGCTTCATACAATGTGAATCGTGATGCATCCAAATCAAATCGCATTAAACCCTTTATATTCACAATTACAGTACAACAAACCGAGTCTTTATCACAGTATGTGCAAACCACCAAAATAAAAAGTTCTTAGAGCCTCAAGATTCACTCACACCACATTCCAACAGAAATCTCTTGTACTCAAGCTCCACTCTGCTATATGCTTCATCAGTAGCTTCCTGATTCGCTGAACCCACCTGCATGCAGTTTAGCTTCTTAAGTAACCGAAGCAAATTTTAGAAACAACTATTATTTACTCAGAACTTGTATGTATGTAACTGACTCTGTATTCTGCAGACGAATCATGTTCTTCAGAAGCAATCGGCTCGTTCCAATCACTCAATGCACTTCTCCACCTCGTTCTTTTGGAGCCATGGTGATGACCTCGTGATGTTTTTCTGGAGATTATCGTGTGCAGCGTCCCAATTATGAGTACGATACAGAAACCGAGAACAGGAAGCAGAGAAGTGAACAAAGCACCTGTGTTTAACTGAAGAGAGAACATGAAAACACACCAAGAGTATGAAATCAAGATCCACAAAAGAAACTAATGAAAGAGTTTAGAGAAACATCACTCAAGCCTCAGTTAAAATTAGAACACATGGACCCAAACACAGTAAGGAAACTGAGTCTACTCATATGGATCTAACAAGACAAGAGGATGAATATGAAAGAAAAAAATAAACCTTTTGCGCTACTAATGGTTCAAAAAGGGTAACTGGTAGTTGAGAAATGTTCTTACATGTGGAAATTTATGGTGTTGGTGCCTTGAAAATTTGTCTATACGAGGAAACTTTTGATTGTTCTATTATTGTTCAAGTAGATGAAGAAATCAATTAACACACAATTCTTATCAAATCCACCTTTACGAATCGGTATCACTCACTAATGAGTGATGAAGTACAAAACGCAAAACTCAAAGCTTTTGCACTCCTAATGGCTCAGAAAGGGTAATGGTAGTAGAGAAATGTTCTTTACATGAGGAAATTTATGGTGTTGGTGCCCTGAAAGATTGTTTAAATGAGGAAATTTTTGATCGTTCTACTAATGTTCAGTTACACTAATGAGTAGATGAAGAAATCAATTACCAGAAAATTCTTATCAACTCCACCACACAATTTAATCGAGCAATTCAGTGTAACTCACTAATGAGTAATGAAGTTCAAAAACTTAATGAAAGGGTTTAGAGTGACACCATTGAAGCCTCAGTTAAACACAGTAAAGAAACTGAATCTACTCAAATGGATTCAACAAGACAAGAGCATGGTTATGAAAGCAAAAACTCAAATCTTTTGCACTCCTAATGATTCAAATGGGTAATGGTAGTAAAGAAATGTTCTTACATGAGAGAATTTATTGTGTTGGTGTCCTGAAAGATTGTCTACGGTGCTCACAGACACAGATTCATGGTATTGCTCTTCCCGGCGTAAATCAGGTAACTCCTCAGTTGTTTTCTGTCAATACTCATCAAATTTCCAAGAGACAAATGAAAGTCAGGATCTCCCTCATTCAGATTGTACCATTCAACAACAAGACAAACTTAAAATATACAAATCCATAACTTCTAGTAAATACCATCTTAGAGTCGTCATCTATGACAGAAGAAGGAACAGCGTCGTGCTTCTCTTCACAGCTAAGGTCATCACTTGGCTTATTTACTTCAGGGTACTCCTCCACTGATAATCCATATTGCTTCAGAATATATCTCAAGGACTCGCTTCTGCAACATTAGAGAGACTAATTCTATAAAACAAACTGCCAAAAACTCCTCTTCTGGAGAAGAATTTCAATTACACTAATGAGAAGGTGAAGATATCATTTACCAGAGCCACACAATTCTTATCACAACTGCCTCAAATCAATCGAGCAATTCGGTGTTATTGAAGAAAAACTGACAAATAAGCGATGAAAGGTCAAATGCTTAACAACATTTGCACATAGAGAACAAAGTCATCACCTTTTAGCAGAACGAGCCAATTCGTCATCCTTCATTGACATCTGTTGAACACGAAACATCCATCTCTACAATACCAAAACAGCCACAGAACAATAATTAGCTAAAAAAAGCCAACACTGAATCCCAAAAAAAGACAAAAGGAATCTTCTTTTGTGACCTAACCTCTGCAACTCGTCTAAACCGTTTACTTCTGAAACCAATCCTTAATTTCAAGGAGGAGCCAAAAACAACCCAAGATTCATTGATCAACGAAGCTGCTCCAAGATGCAAACTTGCCATAGACTAAATCAGAAAGGTTTAGAGAAGAAAGGACTATGTTTCGGCCAAAGACATTGTCTTTGTCTTCTTCGGCTTCATCACAAAAGAAAGAACACAATGGTCCCCCAATTATCGTTTCTTTGCTCATAGAGACAGCTCGTAGACTCACTGAACCAAAACAGAGGTCCCCAATTCCTCATACGAACCAATCCGGTCACAATCTGATGAAAATGACGTTTCTTTTGGATTGCATGTCTGAGTAAATAATGTAAAAGGGTTGGTTTTGTAAAGATTTAAATATTTGGGTCTATGTGTAATTTATAAAGAGTATAGGGATGTAATAAGAACATGTTATGCGCAGGGCGAGTTATAATGCTTTAAAAGCGAAAAAAGCAATCATGAGATTTTCAGATGGCGACGTCCTGCCATGAATCACGCGCAGACTCTTCATCTCCACGCGCCTATTCCCCTTTTCATCACCACGCGCATCTTCGCCACCCTCGTGAGCTCCAACAATGGCTGCGTTCTCACTCTTACTCGCCCTGTTTCTCCTCTCGGAGAGATCTTCGTCCCTTCCGAAATCCGCGGCGGTGAGATATGTATCGGCGCTAGGAGACGGAGGGATGAAGAACCGTAATGCGAGAATCGCACTGGAAGCTTGGAATTTCTGTAACGAAGTAGGAGACGAAGCTCCTTCAATGGGAAGCCCTAGACTCGCCGATTGCGCTGATCTAACTTGCCCGATCCTCGCAGGTACTGTTCTCCGTTTCGCAATTCGGTTTTGCAAATTTCCTGCTTAATGTGTTCATACCGATCAATTTTACTAGATTCCATTGTTCATTCAACATTTAGAATCTACAAATTTGGATGTTGCTCATGTCTATAGCATCACTTGTGACTGTTTCGTGAATTACTTGATTTTGCAACTTTCTGCACTTCGATTTCTCAAGCTGCATTTGATTTTGCAATTTTCTGCTTAATGTGTTCATGCTGATCAATTTAACTCGCTGACATTGTTCATTTGAATAGCATCACTTGTTACTGTTTCTTTAGTTCCTTGTATCTAAAATTCTCTCTGCTGATTTCTAATTATTGGAATAGAGTAGTGGTTTAGTTTAGCCGTTCAATCAATCTCGGTTTATTATGTTTGTTAAACCGGAAAACTCATAGTATAAAGAGTGTGAATGTACACGAATCAGATAAGAACCAATAACATAATGTTCATCGCTATCGCTTCTTAGACTATCTGCACCAGAGGCTTGATAGCCATGGGAGCAAGTGTGAAGTGCGTCATTGGGTAAATGAAACGGACAACAAGTTAGCATCTGGAGATAACTTTCCAGTTTCTGGTTTCACATCATACAAAGATCCTGACATGTTTGCGAACGAAAAAGAACGGTACTTAGGATCTTTGTGCAAGCCACACGACACTGAAGAAGAGCCTTGGTATTTCTGGATGATAATGCTCAAAAATGGTAACTTTGACAAGAACTCTACGCTATGTCCTGAGAATGGGAGGAAAGTCGGTAAGATAGTTACAAGAAGAAACTTCCCCTGTTTCGGGAAAGGTTGCATGAACCAGCCGCTTGTTTACCATAACTATTCGAAGCTTGTCGCTGATGAGAAAGGGATAATGCATTTGATCGGAGGGTTTAATGGAACATATGACCTTGATGCTGAGTTAAGCAAAGGAGCAGGGACAAGATCTTTCTTCTCTGTTTCATGGCAGAAAAACGTTAAAACCGGGAGCTGGGTTTTCTCGAATTCGTTGACCACTTCGAGAAATTACCCATGGCTCATGTTGTACCTCCGTGCTGATGCTGCAGAAGGTTTTAGCGGTGGTTATCACTATAATGGCCGTGGCATGATGAGAAAGGTTCGTGAGTAGAAGAATCTGTTTAAAACTTTCTGTTCTTGATTCTCTTTGTCTGAGTATAAAGGTATGTTTCATCTCTCATTTTGTATGTTTTAGCTACCTGAATCTCCAAACTTCAAAGTGAAACTGACACTTGATGTTAAACTCGGAGGAGGACCCAACAGTCAGTTTTACCTAATCGACATCGGAAGCTGTTGGAAGAACGATGGTCAACCATGTAATGGAGACGTTTTGACTGATGTAACAAGATACAGCGAGATGATTATAAACCCGGCAACAACAAGCTGGTGTCGAGCAGACAATCTAGTTTCGTGTCCTCCGTATCATACAAGTCTCTCCGGCCAGATCATACACAGGAACGAGACATCAAGGTTCCCTTACTCTGCTTACCATCTATATTGCAGCCCTGGAAACGCAGAGCATCTAGAGAAGCCATATGATATATGCGATCCGTACAGTAATCCTCAAGCACAAGAACTGATTCAGATTCTGCCTCATCGAGAATGGTCGGTTCATGGATATCCTAAGAAGCAAGGAGATGGTTGGATTAGGGATTCAAGAACTTGGGATCTTGATGTTGGAGCTCTCTCAAGTCGTCTTTATTTCTACCAGGTAAAGTTAAGATAACTGAATATCCTTTGTCTTAGACTTTGGATTTGGTCTTTGAAACTAATGTTTTCTTTGATTGATAGGACCCGGGAACGAAACCAGCAAAGCGAGTGTGGACATCGATTAATGTTGGTACAGAAATATATGCTAGCAACAGACAAGAGACTGCTGAGTGGACGGTGAGTGACTTTGATGTGTTGGTTCCAGAACAAAAAGCAATATCCTCGTGAAGGTTGTAGCAACACAACTTGTTACTTGTTAGTAGCTTTTGCTTGCTCTCATTTTTAAGTAAGTTATTTTTCTGTCAAGTAAATTTACAGGCCGAAGCTCATTTGCCTCAATTAGATTATCTCTTTACATCTTTCTAAATTAAGGAAATAAATCACTATATTTTACATCGTAGGAATTATATTTTAGGGTTCAAATGTTAGAATTTGGAGGTTAAAGTTTATTAAGATTACTTTGTTAGTTTAAAATACTTTAAGCTATATTCTTAGACTATTTTCATAATTTTGCTAGAAGCTTTTAATTTTGTGATTTTGTTACACAAAATTGTACGAAAAATGAATCAGTTTACTTTAATATAGTTTAGATTTTACGGTTTTAATTTTAGAATTTGGAGTTTGAGGATTATATATATCAGATTATTTGATTAAATTAAAAATGTCTAGTCTATAATTCTTTATGTAAGTTTAGACTATGTTAATATTTTTTTTTTTCATTTTGTGTGGTAAAAGCTTTAATTTGGCGAGTTTGTTACGAAAAAAAGAGGAAAAAGGAATCAAATTACTTTTAGTTTTGTGGGGGAAAAAAGGTATTTATGTATTATGGAGTTGCTATATTTAGGCCCGACCGGTGATGTTTACTTTATGAGAACGTGTTTCCTCTGTAGGTTCGAGCACACAGCTTCTATACATCTTTTTAACTCTTCATTAATACACCCAAGTGGTCTGAGCATAATTACAAGAAAAGCAATATTTTTTTATTAGGAATCGAATTAAAAGCAAGAAAAAGAGAAGACGTAATTTTAACCTAGCTAAGATAATGTTTTGGTGCTATAAGCCTATAACTATATAAAGCCTTGGAGATTTTTCCGAGGCTCATATTTTTTAAAACTTAATTAAGAGTTGACGTTATAGAAAATTATATGGATCTTTTTTGTTTTCTTTTGAGTCAAACTGTTCTAGTAAAATTGATCATAATGGGACAAACATTGCAGTGACCGTACGTAAATTTTATTTTCTTAATTATGTTGAAAACTTGTGATTCCTCTACTAGCCTATTAGACCATATATATAAGTTGCTAGATTGTGGATGGAATCTATCATAGTCGCTAAAACGTTTTTTAGAAGAAACAAAGTCCTAAAGATTGCTGATTTTTTTTAAAAAAAACTCGTTTAATAGATTTATAGGCTGTCGTGAAAGAGCCATTTGAGATTTTAAACACCGCATTCTAAAACATCATGCAACAATAATATGAGTGACTTATTTTGGTAACTTAGTGTGATTAATTAACAGGTTTTTTTGTTTGAGTAATACTATAAAAGGCTTTGTGTGATTAATTAACAGGTACAAAATTTGCTTAAGAAGGAGAGAGAAATTTTTTTTTGAAGACTAGGGCAAATAAATGAGGAGATGCACCAACAACGTCAACGTCTACTCTCTCTCTCTCTCTCTCTCTCTCTCTCTCTCTTCTGCAATAATACAATTTGCGTGTCACTTTCAAGCCCTAAATTAAACTCTGCTACTTCACCTTTCTCTTTAATTTTCCTCCAAAGGAATCTTACAATCTTAATAGCTAACATACTTAGCGTGCCACATAAGAAATTATGTATATGATCAAAAGTTACATACAGGCTATCTCTATTCAACTTTTCATTTTTCGGGGGTATATTCTCACTTTCTTGAAAAAGTGATACATACGTACATTTACGTGGAAGTTATGTATATGTATGAAGAAGTTGTGTAAACTAAAAGGCTTGGTAAGTGATATAAATCACATGTTTATAATGATAGATATTTTTATACTTCTGTGGATCTATCATAGGTTTATTCTAGTCGTCTCATCTAATCATCTACAAATTTTCACTATTAGTTCCACGTTGGTCAATTTATCCGTTTTTAATGGTAAATGTTTTTTAAAGTGTTAGTTAATCGGTAAGCGGGTTTTCCGAATGTCAAAAATGTCTAAAACATTGTCCTCATCATCATATAATATATAAAAGTTGATGGCATAATGCATTGAGGACGTCCATATAGGACGAAGAAACTCGATATGATTGGTTCACATCATCGTTTTTCATTAATCACAAAATGTTAAATATGATTAAGATGAAGAAACTCAATATGATTGGTCCACATCAGCGTCTTTCATTAAACATAAAAATGTTAAATTTGATTAAAATATTATAAAATTAATTTATATTTTTTAAAAATATTAATAGGACGAAAAAACTTAATTTGATTAGTCCACATCATCATTTTTCATTAATCACAAAAATGTTAAGTATGATTAAGATGAAGAAACTCAATATGATTGGTCTACATCATCGTCCTTCATTAAACATAAAAATGTTAAATTTAATTAAAACATTACAAAATTAATTTCTATTTTTTTAAATATCAATTTCATTTTTTTTAAAACTCGATCTGATAGGTCCACATCAGCATTTTCATTAAATGAAAAGATATTAAGTATGATTATGATGAAAAAACTTGATTTAATTGGTCCACATCAGTTTTGTAATCAAACCAAAAATTATTAAGTATAGTTAAAATATTAAAGTTAATTTAACAAATTATGTCCAGCAAAAAAAAAGTAAATTCAATCTGATTGATCCAAATCAACATATTTAGTAACTTAGAAAATATTAATATGGTTTAAAAATTTTAAAGTTAAATAAAAACTTAACAATTAACAATAAATGTATAAAAAAATAAACATTATCAATTATCAATTTAAATTTTTTTACAACAACTCGATTTAACAATTAAAACAATGAAAACTGAATAAAATTATAATAAAAAACTCTTGAAAGATATGATGGAGAAGGAAAAATGGTTTTGCATGATAGTTACAGCTTCCTAACAAAATTAAATGCGAATCAACATGAATTACTAATTATATATGCAGTGGTATACATCATCAATAAGAGTTTTAATAAAAACTAAAAATTTGAAAAATATAAACCTTCAAGAAAAAAAGAACTATAGAAATTCTATGGAAAACAGAAAATAATACCAAAATCTTAACAAGATTATATTTTTCTAAATCAAATGTATATGTACGTCAAAGTTGGATAATTCGATAGGTGTCATTGTTATTAGTTTACTTAATAGTTTTTTAAAATTTATAAATAAAAATAGAATAAATTACGCATTGTATATTAAATTATCTTATATAAATGAAAATTTATATAAATATATTATATTTTTAATAATTTAAAAGATAGTAGCTAAAAAAAATCAAACAAAAATATTAATACAGACTCGCGCGTAGCGCGAGTTATATACCTAGTATTATCAATTGGCAAGCAAGTTAGGTTGTGGTTGAGAGTTATGATGGTTGATTACCTTTTACCCCTAATGTGAATTTACTTTAATTATCCTTAATGAAATTAACAAATTAATATAATCTGATTTTTAATTGATTTTTGTTTTTTTAAAATCTAAATTTCCAGATTCGAGTTTATATAATAAAAATATTCAGTTTACTAAAAAAGGTAACTAGCATAAATAAATAAAAAAATTCTAATTATTTTACTAAACTAATTTTAATTTGATTGTTTAACCTACTAATATTTTGACTAACCTAATTGATTTATGCGACCACATAAATCATTTAAACCCTTTTAAAATTCAATATATATATTTATTAATGTTAAATTGATATATAACAAGGATTCTTTGGTTTTGGTCATTTTGAATTACTATATTTTTTAATGCAAACTTTGAATTTCATTAATCTTAATCTACCAATTTATATTAAAAAAAAAATTATTTATCATGTTTCATAAATGCAACAAAACAACAAAGCATACATATAAGTTTTTATCAGATAATATAAAAGATATTAAAAAATAAGATATAAATAATATATTTTGCTTTATTACAAAAAATAATATACTCATAAAAGTTGTATTTTTTAAATATAATAAGTTTGGTTTCGAATCATTATAAAATCTAATTTTTTTTATCTTTAAATAAACTAATGTTATACTTTTAAAAAATTTAATCGAACCCCGCACTTTGTGCGGGAAAACACATAGTATTGATATAAATGGTTGTGAGAAAATAAATCATTATTTTTATTACCTTTGCCTAATAAATTTACCATTTTGGAGATTATAAATTAGCAAAACAGGAAAACAACGAGAAAACACTATATATACTAAAAGACTGCGGCAAAAAAGTAGACAGCTTAAAACAAAATGTTGTTGCGTGTAAATTTACAGGCAGTGAGCTTATTTTAACCATCGCTTGAAAATAAAATAAAAAGTAAAAAGAATTAACTAGAATAGTTTTTGTTATGATTGATATTTAAAAAATAATTATTTAAATGAATAATATTTCGTATCGTTTCACATAGATGAGTAAAATATCTCATGCTTTGTTGCTACACTTTTTTTTTTATAATCGGAAGATTCTAGTGGAGTTCAAACTAATATCCAGAACCTATACAAAAATAAATATTAAAAACGTAAAACATAATCGAAGAAATCATAATAAGAAGATTTGAATCCAATTAGCTGAATCAACCACTTGACCAGATTTCGTTAAATCATCCGAAACCCCAAATCTTATGAAACGGATGTAGCTAGCTATAGCCTCAATCTCTCAATGTCTGGCAATATTAGAAACTAAATAATGAAAATTACTATTTTAAATATGTGATTCCTGAATCCTAACACGTCGGGTTAAAAATAACTTTTATTGTTTGTTGATTAAATTTTTTCATTTCAATCTAAATTTCCCAATATATTGCGAACCATTTTCAAGTTGACAATTAGCTGGCCAAAATTTGACATTCCTAGTCAGTTTTAAATGTATTGCATTGAAATTTACAAACGCAACCGCAGTCGCATTCTCTCTCTCACTGGACGTTGGAAGGTGAGTAAAGAAAGAAACGTCTACAAATAGACATATATAGTGGGAAGCTTAGGGTTTTTGAAGAGAAAAGGATTTGGGTTTGTTTTTGGGATTCTAAAAAACTCAAAAACTTTTCTTTTTCTTGTCTTGTTTTCTTTTTCTTATAAAGGAGAGAGAGAAGAAAGAGAATTTCCGAAAGCTGAATTGAGTTGGGTGAAGCAATTCTCAGGTCTGTCTGTCATGTCTTTACTTCTTCTTCTCATAATGGAAAAACACTTCTTGATCTCATCAAGTTCCCATCTTTGTACACATCTCTTCATTCAAAAACTCTACATTTATATAAATATGTATACCTCTATATATGCAGATTCCAAACTTATAATAATTCTTTCATCATGGGTTTTTCTTGCCTTGTCTGTCCCTTCACAAACTTAATTATCAAAGAAAAAAAAATTCATCTTGTTCTCTTCTTCTTCTGTTTTATGCGTTTCCCAAGAAGAGAGATCCTAAGAATTTTAATATTTCTTAAGATTAGCCGATTAGGATAAAGATTAGGTTATGTTAATGTTTTAAGTTTCTCTCATGTAGATCTCTGCAAGATTCTTTTTCCTTTCTTGTCAGCTAAAGTGGCGTTCTTTGGTCTGAAAATCTTCCAAATCTGCTGAAATTTTCTTTCTTCTTGAAACTAAGCAAATTTTTGTCTCTCTCTATCTCTCTTTCTCTCTCCTTTCTGTGTAATAATGTTTCTCTTTTGTACTATAACTTCAGTTTCATGAGCATCAGTGCCTTCTCAATTCTTCTTTCAATATATATGTTTGATTTGTTTTCTCTCTCCATATTCCTACTTTTGTTTTTGTTGTTTAATTCTTTCTTCCTTGAAACAAACTAAAAAATATTTAATGTCTTCACACAACAGATTAGAGATCAATGATTTTATAAAACATCTGTGTAAGTATATATGTAAATCTTCCAGATCTAAGTCAAATTACGTATATGTTTGTTTGCCGTTTGATCCCGTGAAGCCTTTCAGATGTTTATTGGAGAGAGAGAGATAGGTATAGAGAGTACAAGGGATGGGTCAAAATAAATTTTATCTGGGTACAAAAAAATCATGTAATTAATTCGTCAGATTTTACCTCCCAGTTCTTTTTATTTATTTAATTTATGATAAGAAGCTTTTTTTTCCTGACAAATTCTTATTGACAAGTTTAAGAAGAATTACATATTATATGTATGATCCTGTTGCATGGTAATGTTGTATTTAGTCAAAGATCTGAATAATTTCAAACTCTAGTTTCAGCTACATCAGATCCGCATCAGATCCGATTGATTCTTGTCTGTCCAATTGAAATCAGTCTACAACATCCTTAATTTTATTTTCCCAATAAAGTTGGAAAAGAAACTCTTTTTTCGTTACAAACCCACATAAATTTGAGTTTGGTTAAGTATTAAAAAATATATTAATTCAAACCCTAGCCTTAGGGTTTTGTTTAGCTACAAAAACAATTGTTAAATTATTCTGGTATATTCTCTTTTATAACTTCTTGCAGTATGTCAATCATTTGTATGTTAGTTAAACAGTATTTTTCGTATCAATAATGTCCAAATTGAGCAATTCTTAAGTGTCTTTATACATAGTAACTTATTTTATAATCTTGTTTGATGTTTTATAATGAAGGATGGGAAGAGGAAAGATAGAGATCAAGAGGATAGAGAACTCCACAAATCGACAAGTGACATTCTGCAAAAGAAGAAATGGACTTCTGAAGAAAGCTTATGAGCTCTCAGTCCTCTGCGATGCAGAAGTCGCCCTCATTGTCTTCTCAACTCGTGGCCGTCTCTATGAGTATGCCAACAACAAGTAAGTCTTTTTCTAAATATACATTGATCTTTAAGTGAAATAGTTAATTACAAGCATAAGGGCACATTTGAGCTATAAAAGCATTATCAAGAAATCAGAATTTTTGCATTTGTATTAATACTCTTAGTTAAGCTTTTTGCTACATAGATTATTCGCATTGTTTTTACTATGAATGCGCATTTTCTTGAAAGAAATTGATGGAAAATAATAGAGATAAGATATAAAAGAAATTAAAATGCAAGCATGAGACTATTGTAGGTGTACAATAAGGTTATAGCCAAAACATTTCGGAAATTAAATCTAGACTATACCATATGAATCAATACGAAATAGCACAAGTACATATGATATTTTAATTTCAAGAGTCTTATTTACTTTATATATCTGACAGTAAACATATATGTACACAAATCCGAAGAGTACTATATATATACACGATTAATTACACATATATATCTTGAGAAAAATCTTAAAAGAGAGAGATAGTACAATGGGTTTGAAGTACCAAAATCATGCTAGCTAGCTTGCAGTTGCAGTTTTTGGTCAACAAGTCTTTTTATTTGATTTTTTTTTTGCTTTGTCAAAGTTTTTTCTTGGAACTTAAAACAGTTGTGCAGCGAGGGAGATGTGTAGTTTGTACTCTTCTTTCCTCTTTCATCTTAAGCAGATCAGATCTATTTCTTCATGTCTCTTCCTTCCTTTTTTGGCTTGTTATCTTATCAATTCGATTTCTTTTTTAAAATCTTTAAGTCCTTTCAACTATTGTTTTACAGGACACAGTCTCAACTCTACTTTCTGTCTTTCGATTGAAACCCAAATTTAAATTTTACTTCAACTTGAATATTTTAATACAAACCAAACTTATATTATAGTTCCACATTATTCAGAGTTTATACATAATGATGAGTATTAGTTGTTTGCCAATGCCAATGCAAGAAAAAAGCATCAATTTAAACCGATTCAGATCATTTTACCAATGCGATTTTGAACATAATAGTTAAAACCTCCATACTAGAAATTTTCACTTAGAATCGGCTCAAAACAATAGTTTCTATATATTTATGTTTGTGTTTGCATTTTCACGATATTAATATCACAACCACTATGACATGGAAACATAAAGGCAAAACAACAATGGTGACCTTCTTTTAGATACTGATTTCTTGAGTAAATTAAGGAATTTAGAACATGAATTGAATGTTTATTTTTGTGACAGCATAAGATCAACCATTGAGAGGTACAAGAAAGCTTCTTCTGATGGCACCAACACTCACTCTGTCCAAGAAATCAATGCTGCGGTTTTAGTTTCTCTCCATCTCTCTATATACTTCATTAACATCACATTTGTACACATATATGTTCTTACTGTAATGGTGCTCAAATGTACAGTACTATCAGCAGGAATCTGCAAAGCTAAGGCAACAGATCCAAACGATTCAAAATTCCAACAGGTTTTTTTCACGACTTATATATATGTCTCTGGTGGAGGTACTAGGTATATATAAATAAGTATTCATTGATTGTAACACATTTTTGATAACATTGTAGGAATCTATTGGGAGAATCTTTGAGTTCCTTAAGTATTAAGGAACTAAAACAGGTTGAGAATCGCCTTGAGAAAGCCATCTCCAGGATCAGGTCCAAGAAGGTATATATAGACAGCTACAACATCTCATAAGACTCTCTAATTATAACATTTTTTGTATAATTTTCTTGAAATCTGCTTCATGTTCTTGCGAGATACAGCATGAGTTGCTTCTAGCTGAAATCGAAAACATGCAGAAAAGGGTATATAAAGCTCAAAATTTCTAGTTAAACTTTCGTACCTTTTTTTTTACAATCTTTCTTGTGATAATCTTTAAATATGGCCATATTCTACAGGAGATTGAGCTTGATAATGAGAATATCTATCTCCGAACCAAGGTAATGTGTTTGGTAAATTGCATAGCCGCATCAACTAATCATCTATCTAGCTAATTAATATGTTTTGATGAACAGATAGCAGAAGTGGAGAGGTTTCAACAACAGCATCATCAAATGGTTAGTGGTTCAGAGATCAACGCAATGGAAGCATTAGTAGCTCGCAATTACTTTGCTCATAGCATTATGGCTACTGGTTCTGGATCTGGTGCTTGTCAAGGAGGTTCTTACTCTGACCCGGACAAAAAAATCCATCTCGGATAATGTCTCCTGACAAAAACACGAGCTGAAATAATGGCTTTATGAAGCTTTGCATTCTGAAAGCCTCTGCTCTGATTTATCTCTACATGAAATTTGTTTGGTCTTATTAAATTTCAAAGTACAATGAAGGTACTGATCTTTCAAAGACTCCTTGGAAATTTGTGTTTGTGTAATGATGAAGACATACTTTGGTTTAGTGATCATGCCCTTTAATTTGAATTATGGTATCTGATTTAGTAATTTAGTGATTTATATGATCACAGAACAGAGCACTTTTTCATATCATTTTTTCATATCATCTAGTAATTGTAGTATCTGAGTTTAGTGATTCATATCAAATCTATTATGGTATTTGATTTATTGATTCATACGATCATAGAACAGAGCATACTACATAACATATCATTCAGTGATTTATATGATCATATAACAGAGCATAGATCAGAGCATATTACACATCATTTAGTTATTATGGTATCTGAGTTTAGTAATTCATATCAAATATGTTATGGTATTTGAATTATTGATTCATACGATCATAAAACAGAGCATATTACATATCATTCAGTGATTTATATGATCATATAACAAGACATATTACATATCATTTAGTGATTATGGTAAGTTTAGTGATTCATATCAAATCTATTATTGTATCTGATTTATGATTCATATGATCATAGAATAGAGTATAGTACTTTATACATATATGATCATAGAACAGAGTGTAGTATATACATATGATTAGAGAACAGAGCATTTTTCTTTGAGCTCTTTGCGCAAAGAAGCAGTCTCTCTCTCAGCTTTGTTGAGTTGTTCTCTAAGCCTCCTGATCTCATCAGAAGATAGTTTCTGAATCTCGGTCATCTTTTTCTCGGTTTCTTCTCTCGCTACATTCGCCTTAGCTAATTGCTCCTTCACATCCTTCAATGATTCCTTGAGCTGATTAGAGATCTAACAAGAAGACAATAAAACCACCATATAATGATTATACATTCATATACACACATTACATACATAACAGATGAATGAATTGAGTTTTACCTTCTCTTTTATTCCCTCGAGCATTTCGTTATACGATTTCTCTACTTCCTTCTTCACTTCCGTTATCTCTTGTTTCGAAGACGAAGCCTTCAGTGCTTCAATCTGCTTCTGCTTCTCCTCGAACGTGGCCTCGTTCTTCTGAGAAGGAGATGAAGATTTAGCACAAAACGAAAAGTTGTGAAATCTTGTTTTTGTAAAAAGAATCTATCTTTTTCACCCTTAGCTCAAGTGATAAGTCAGCCATAAAAGATTTGCCATTGTTCTTCCTTGAGATTTGCTCGACGAGGTTGAGAAGATCTTGAACTTGCTTGTCTCTCTTGATTTTAGGGACATTACGCCTATTGTCAAACAACACCTTACGGTCATCACATTCTTTGAGAATTTCCTATAAAGAAGCGATTTTTGGATGTTATAAAGATGAAGTCATGTAAGAGATCGTGCTGCATTAAACCGTTTCTTGAACCGACCTGAAACTCAGGACAGTCCTCTAAATAGTCATCAAGAGTGTCTCCATCATCAAATGCATCTCCGTTGGTGAAAACAACAATCATATGGTCAACGATTTGGCTTCCGAAAAGGATCTTTAATGTGCGAAGTGTTGATTGTTCCTCTTCTGTTAACCGATTCCTCACAGAGAAAACAAGAAGCACTGCATCTATACCGTTTGGAGCTAAACGTAAACATCTAACGATTTCTCTAATTGTAAAATCTGGCGTCGAGGAAGCACTAAACAGACCTGATCAACACCATTAACTAATTAATCTCAATGTATGTGTTAAAGAAAATGTTGGATTTGATAATAGAAAGTGTTCGAAACTTACCAGGAGTATCGATGACATTGATGGTCGAACCATTTGGTAGCTCTGATTTGTGTAGCTTACACTCTTTGGTAATGAACTTTCCTCTTGCTTTTGACAAGAACTTAGTTTCTCCTAGGATGCTGTTTCCGGTCGCGCTTTTACCATTCCCTGTTCGACCTAGCAGGACTAGGGTTCTTTCAGGTTTCCAATCAACTTCCACATTTACTTTGCTTGATCCCCAAGGCATTGTTTCAAATCTGTCAAATTCCAAAATACAAGTAAATTAATGGTTCCTGAAGAAAGGTGAAAAGAAACAAGAACTCAAGAGAAAAAAATTATTAGTTATTACTCTTCAACATACCTAAGAGAAGCTTAATACAATTGTGTATTCCAAGTGATAAAGCAAAGGAAAATAGTTTGTTATTTAGAGGCAAAAACAGAATATTCATTAGACAAATCGAGAAAGAAAGCAAACATAAAAGAGAAAGAGAAAGAAAAGAATATCCGTAAAGTAAGAATATACCACAAGGAGTGAACAAGCAAGGAATCTAAGAGAAAGACAACAATCGTTACCAATTTGTTGGTCCAATCGCACTGCTCTGTTCTCCTTTTTTTTGGTCCTTTTACCTTGCCTAAAGGAAGAGCCTTAAACTGAAACCTGTTAAGATAATAAAGCAAATGGAATTAGGTTATGTTTTTGTGAGGATGGTAACGCAAAGAACAGAACAGTAACAAAAACAGATTTCTAAAAGAGAGTATAGATTTACATATGCAAGCTTCTCACTAGCTTTCTACTTTGAGTTTCATTTTGTTTTCTTTTCGGCTTCCAAAATAACATTTCTACAGTAATTCTATGTACATTTTCTCTGTTTCTCTGCTCTACAAAAAGATATCATATTCTTTTGCTTATCAGTTGGACAGAACGATTCAAAGAATTGATAGAAACAAAGACATACCTGGTTCATCCTATACTAGTCCTCCAGCCATTTGAAATCTACACAGTTTCTGCTGAAAGAGTGAATAAGTTTTTCTGTTTTTGGATAGCAACGTTAGATAGATCTGTTAGAGTTTCTGGCTGTTTCGCAAGAATAAGTATTAAAGGCTACAGCAAAAGAAGGAAAATCAACAGTCTCCTGCTCTCTTAACTGAGAAATTGCTAATTCCAATATGGCAGTTTTATGTCTAGAGAAGGTACAGAGGACAACTTTATTTGAGTGGCTTCGACTTTGTAGTTCCAATAAACGCTTAGCATTAACCCACTTTGGATATGCAATAGATAATCTCATCAAATATTAACAAGCATAATTTGTCGACTTGTTCATTTTGAATCAGAGTTCATATACATTTTTCTTCTGAATTTTATTGATTTATATCCTTTCTATTATGTATAGGGTATATACACCCTTTTTTCGTTAATATAAACTAGTGCTAGAATCGTAGTTGCAAGACATGTTCACTTTCTTGTTTTATTTGGACATGAATGCAAGACAGATTCTCAGCCGGTCGAAGCAAAACACATCAAACCCAAACCTTTAAACTCAATCATTATGAAAAAAAAAAAAAAAAAATTATTATGTAAAACCAATTAATGTGGGATAAAACATTAGTTTTTGCTCCGAAGTAACGTGAAACACAATTAAAGGCAATGTAAATAAAAAACCCTGACAGAAAATAAGAAAACCCAAACTAAAGAAGCATAAAACGCATAGAACACAATACGCCCATGCCTATGCCTTCACAGATGAAGCAGAGATGCTTGACTTGAGTTGCTTTGCATCGTTAAGATTAAGATCCTCTACATAGTCTACAAAGGTGTGAACTCTACCACGAGTCTCAAGCGCTTCAAGGTCAGCTCCAAAACCTTGGATTTCAACACTCCGAAGTGTGTTCTTTTCCGGATTGAAGAAGAAAACATAAAACGGTTTACATGTATAGTCCATCGACAAAACGATTTCACCTATAGCAGTAACTCCAACGACCGAAAAATTGCATGGATCAACGATTTTACTCTCCCACAAAGTGTAGACATGTTTCGACCATTCTTGTTTCTGGACATCTTCAAGAACCCACATACACAACTCTAGGGTACGCCTTCCATCAACGGTAGCATACTTCCAATCGATCCCAACTAATTTACCCTTATAGTTTATCAACTTAGTAGTAATAGTATCTTCGTTTTCACATAAGAATTCGGCGTTGATAAACTCCTTGAATTCCTCAGACTTAAGATCAAAGCAAACTATGAAAAACTTCAAATCACCACTGTAGCAAGCTAAATAATATATAACACCATTGATGCATATACCGTCAGACTCAGACCTATTGTATGCAGGACAATGGGTCCTCCTCCTCCACCTCAGCTTTCTAGTTTTTAATGTCAGAATCAAATGATGAACCCTTTCATCACAGAATGGATAAGCCTCGGTCAAAACCTTGAATTTCTTGTCAATCGGATCAAACCCTAAAGTGCCTCTCGATGTTCTGTAAATCGTCGATTCAGGTAACCTCTCGTATTGTCCAGTGATAGGGTTACATATCACAGGACTATAACCTTTTTTATCTTCTGAGGGATTCATACCAGGGAAATACATCAAACCAGAGGCATAGCTAGAATTTAATCGGTCTATGTCATCAGAGAACTTTGTATGAAATTCGGCAGCTACCACAAGAGACGACTTGTCATATGGATTTTGATGCTGAGGCGACGAGAAGAAGAGCCACTTACGGTCTTGTTCGACTGCGAATAAGAGACGTGGACGAGCCATAGACCTGGTCAGGAACAACTCTGTGAAACCTGGACTGCGAAGCATGGAACCCCATTGCTTTGACAGGCAACGAAACCTAGCAACTGACTTCCCCCGCAATCTCGAGAATATCTGGATAATGAGTTCATTCGGCAATTGTTCCATGGTTTGTCCTCTTTTCATCATATTGGAGGAGCGTTTATTGCCTTTGGACATGGATGTTTGTAAGAAAGTTTGTTCTTGCGGGATTGTTTTACAGCGGAAGGATGAGAAGAAGATGCGAGTTTGCGTGAGAAAACAAAATTAGGGTTTTGCTCTAGAGGTATTATATATTATACAAGAATTTAACCCTAAGACGAAAACGAAAATATACAAAAGCATAATAATTTGTATTTTTGGATATATTAAAGAGGCCATATTAAATATATCACAATAATTGATTTTCTCCTAAAAAGCATAGATATTTTGACCATTATATGTTACTAAGAAATTAGAAGAACATTGTGTCAATATAACCACCATAATGCGACTGACAAAAAGGATTCACTTTTCCAGTGATCAACACAATGATTCTAAAATATAAATGGTGCGCCAAACCTAAACATAGATTCTTCGGAGACTGAACAAGTATAATGTATAATTTGTTAAGGGGATTAAGAAACATGTTCATGTTTACTCTAATTAGGAACATGTTTAATATTGTATAATCAAATAAATAGGTAACTCTTCCTCAGGGATGATGATATAGAGAGTCTTCAAATCTAATAACCAGTCAGTGAAATTTATACCAATTCTTCACTGATGTGAGAATAGAGCTCACTACGGATACAAAGCAGAAAATTTATCATGTCATTTGAGAAAAATCTACATTTTTCTAAGAAAAAAGGTCACTAGAAGAAGACACCATAAGGAGGAAAAAAACATCACCCAATTTGGTCTAGCATCAAAGATAAAATAGTATCTTATTACAGAATGTTGCACTGTTTGGTCTTTTTATGGACTTCACGGGTCATATTTTCAGCCCTCTTGAGATCCTCCATCAGCTTCCTAACTACATCGCTGGATTGTTTCTCGAGTGTATTTGCCTTTCTCTCCGATTCAAGTCTCGCAGCTTGCTCTTTGTTCAGCTTCTTAGCTACATCAATTGAGTGTTTCTCGACTTCATTTGCTTTTTTCTCCAATTCAAGTCTCGCATCTTGCTCTTCCTTCAGCTGCTCCTCTAGCTTCTTTACTGTCTCATTCAGCTTAATCTCCACCTAAAAAAAGAATTTAAAGGCATGTTGAAAAATGTGTTGATCCAACCAGCTTATTAAGGCTTGTCATAGAAGGTATGTATACTATTTAAACTCATGTTAATAAGCAACAAAATAATATGAGACAATACCCTCTCCGCCATTTCATTGAGCAGCTGATTTTCATGAAACTTCTTCATATCTTTCAACATTTGAGACATAACTTGTTCCGTGAATGAGCCCTTCATTTCTAAAATCTCCATCTGCTTTTCTTGGAATGCAGTTTCGTTTTCCTAAAAGAACAGATGGAATAAACCAATAAGCAATAAAAAATACATCAACAAATATTCATTTCTTGTTTTATTTTTGTTTCTCTCCTCACCCTTATCTCGCGAGATAAATCACCCATGTAAGGTTTCTCATTCTTCATTGCTATTTCTTCAACATAGTTTAAGAGCTCTTGAACTTGCTTAGCTTTCTGACTCTCAGAGGCTTTGGCTCTGTTTCCAAACAACACCTTCCGGTCATTGCGAGTTCCTAAAAACCATAAAGCAACTCAATAAGAAGGTGAAAATTAATATTCAACATCAAAAGCAAGAAAAAAGAGTAGCTAACGTTGAAATCAGGGCAGTCTTCCAAATATTCCTCCAATGTTAATGCATCATCGTCATCTTCATGAAGTGCATCTTCATTTGTGAAAACAACAATCATGTAGTCTACAATCTTGCTTCCCAAAAGGATCTTCAACGCGAAAAGCGAAGATCTCTCCTCTTCTATTAGCCTGTTCCTCAAGGAAAACACCAAAAGAACCGCATCGATCCCATCTTTGGACAGAGATAAGCACCTTAGAATCTCTCTGCATGTAAACTCGGTTGATGGAGTGATAGGGTCAGGTTTTACCCAAATAAAACTACTGCAAGTGCACAGCAAAGCAGTTGTAGTACAAGGGGTTATCGAATCCCAAGGGAGTATGTAAACCACACTAGCGATTATAGATTCAGATTAAGCTAAGCGATAAATAATGAATGTAATGCAAAACAGTAAAATAAATGCAAAAGGGCGTTTTTATGCTTGTTCTTAAAGTTCAGAAGGCTAAAGGCGCTAAGTCAGGACAGTTCGCAGGTTGAATCCGAGAGTGTAGAATGCATGCAATCAGAAATGAATTAAAACCGTCTTGAACATGAATCGCAAAGATATAACTAATCAATTCTCATTGCAAAAGTTATCTATGTCTAAATCACAGAGTTTCAAATCTCTTTGCAAACCCTAACAACCTAAACATGCAGTAATGATCAAGTTCAATTGTTCACAAAACTCCTAAGCCAAATCTCTTTGCAATTAGGTGTTTTGCTCATCTAATACTAGTTCATGTAATTAATAATGCTCTCACATCTATCAAACAACCTACGGTT